GCGCCGGAATTGTCCTTTAATTAATTTGTAGGAAAATTATTCTTAAAACAATATAGCTTAAACCCTAGTTTAAATTCAGTAAAAATTTCAACCTCAAGTTGCCGTTAGTCCCGTAGTATATAACACACTCTGTGCACGCAATAATGTGCAGCTGCAAGCTAATTTGTATGTTGCATGTATATTGGTTGGTATTTCTGCAGGGTTAGATTACTTTTGAATCCTAGATACAGAAGATTGATCCAACCCAATATGTTTAGTGATAAGCTGGAGCCGAAAGCCAAGGATGACTGACAGGTCATGGTTAAACGGTATAATTGCAGACTTGCTGCAGTTTTATCCTTGCCTACAGTTATAGACCTCACCACTCAACAATTGCATGTGATAGGAATTCTCTATGAAGCAGATCAGATGTCACATGACATCAAATCCTTGACCTGAGCTGGTACTCTGAGCTCAGCTTCCATTTCCTCAGTGTTTCCCTCAAGAGGTTGAGAGGGTATGAACACTTTATGCTCTTACATGCTAAGTGTGTATCAGAAGTCCTCAGTATCAATGTACAGCACTCACTGATGTCCTCTATGGTGCCTAGAAGAGTAGAGATTTATATGCAGTCTAATATAGTATATTAGCTACATCGCTTGGTTGGCCCACTTGGGCATGAGATGCTTAATTACACTCTAGGCAGGAAATAGCAGGGAATGTTAATAAACTGAATATGTGTGGGGTGAATCAGATCTTTCATGTGGTATTTCCATTCCTCTGCAGGCCTTTGTTGCTCTTTCCAGTCTATTGGCCTCTCACCCATCCTTGGGCAAGGGCTCTGACTCTTCACCCTACCCCAGGCTCAGCCCCTCTGACTCGGGCCAGCAACTCGGCACGCCTGGGGGGCCTGGAGACCCCCGATAACAAACAGCTCTAGCCAAGCCACTGGCCTCCCCACGCCTATGCAGGCATTTACCCACCACAAACAAACACCTTGCTCTCATTCCAGACAGGTTTTTTTTCTTCACCGCCCCACTCCCCAGTTGCACAAAATATATTTTCTTTTTTTTTTCTTTTATTCTATCCTCTTTTTTTACCTGAAGTGAGAAGGAAAAAAATGAAGGAAGTGACGGGTCCCATTTTTCCTCCACTTTTCTATTCTCTCTCACCTCTCGTTTTCTTGCTCTCCCACTGCTGCACGGCCCCAGACTGTGTTTGTGTGTGTGTGTGTCTGTGAGTGTGTGTTTCTCCCCCAACGTCAGCCTAAGTGTGAGAGAGATGGATGCCAGAGTCCCTTTCTCTCTCCTAAGGCGCCATGTCTCTCCTCTCTCCTCTGCCGGGCTCGTCTGCACCTGCATATTGTGATATAGTGCCTCTGTTCAGCCAGTCGATTGCCTTTAACAGGACTGGGGCACACTGGCCAAATTGAAAGGGATTGCGGCCTGCTTTTCATCAGAGTCACAGCAGAGCGGGGTGCAGGGTCCATAGGGCACAAGGGGTGTCCATTCTGTTGCGCTTCCTCTCTCACAACTTCTCCCTGTTGTACTCTTTCTCTCCATCTTTTTGTGTCTCATTGTTTGATGCCATCTGATGGCTGTGGAAACATTTTGCAGGAAATGAGTTATTCTGTTTCCCGTCAATCCATTTCTCCATTTCCATGCAGGAGTTCCTATTGATAGCGAGGGAGAAAGAAAATCAACATCAGTCTCAAAGAAAAATGTCTTCATTTTCCATTTGTTTGCCTCATACTTTTGAGACATGTCATATACGTGTGCCTTCTCTTTTCAAGCTTGCCTCTCCAATTCTTTTGTGGAAGACAGAATTTGAAAGGACGCATCTCTCTAATGAAAAAATTCCCCTGTGTGCGCTTTAATGAGTTAGCAACACTTATACATATACTTTCAGCCTGTTATGTCAGTGGAGTGGCAGGCAGACACACAAATACAGTAAGCAGCTAATGAAAGAATACCTGAGAAAGAAGCTCATTCCAATACAGAAAAACAGGTATTAGAAATAATATGGATAAAGCTGAAATGCTAATCATGTTAAAGGCATTCATTAAATCCCATTAATTCCAGTTCCCTGTGGTATTTAATGAGGCTGAGTGTGTTCTGCAAATAATACTCGTAGCACAATTTCATTCATATATTAACACTTCACTCGTCAGTTTAAATACATTTGTACAACTTTCTTTTGGTTGTTATATCCCTTTCTTCTGTAGCTGTATCCTGTTACAACCTACTGCTGTTATGGCCCAATTTCAGTTTCATCTAATCAAATCTGTTTCATCTAATGTTATCTAATTAAATCATTGTCTAAGTTCTTCACATTTTTCTGCTTCAAAAGTTAGCAGTGGCAGGAATCATGCTTTTGTCAGACTAGTCAAAATAATCTATTATTTCTGTCTGGTCATTTGAAATTTACTTCAGCCCAATTGTCCATCATGAAAATGAGTGCATTCACCCCACTGCTTAGGATAATACATCGACAATATCCAGACAGATTACTGGCATTACACAGGCCGGTGCCTGCATGCTAATTTCCAAAGGAAGGACTCCTGTGACTGATGGCTTCAAATAGCAGTGCATGTGTGCATGAGTGATGGAGAAGAGACCTCTTACCTCCTTCCTCCCTCCCTCCTTTTTCTTCCTCCTTCCTTGGTTGCTGTGGAAACGGGCGGGTAGATTTGAGGTCCCTGTCACCTATTGTTTCCCTGAAGTTGTTAAACTTTAGTGCCCACGTGACAGTCTCACAGAGACGTGTGAGAGCATGGAAAGAGAAAGTATGTGTGCATGCAAGCACACCCGTGTTCACAGAAACACGTGTGTATATCAAGACATACACTCTTACAGACACACACACACATACACTGCCGGTGCCTTGAGAGAAATCTGCGATCTATTTAGTGTCTTGACCTCAATGTCCAATGCTTTTTCTGTATTGACTTAAGGAATGGTGAAGGGAAAAGAAGGACCAGGGGTGAGAGAGGACAATAGAGAGGGCACTTGAAAAGGCAGTAACCTTTTTCTGCTTGGTGTGTGTCCGATAGAGACTCCCCGTAGTATGCCATTGTGGAGCTGTCAAACTGCCTCCGTATGAATTCAGAGTGATGCTCGAGAGGTACATAACGCCTTGTCTAGAGCTCCTTCAGTGTCCATCTTCATTCATGGATCAATAGTTGTCTTTATTTTGGATTCATTCTCCTTCCTCTTTCTTCTTCTTCTCTCTCTCCTTCCCCCCCATTCGTCTTTGACAGGGCAGCCCTAAATGTCTGCTTTAACTAGCTGCTCACAGCCCTCCTCAAAACACATTTACATACACATCAATCACACTGTCAAAGGTAAAGGCACGACGCCGTGTAAAAACCAGAATTGGATTATGGCCTTGTCTCATCCCTGACACTGACTGCTTGGCTGGCTGGCTGACTAGACTGTTGATGCACAAGTTAAATAGCCTGAATTGTTATTGGCTGGTGTTTTCCTCATAGTGCTTAGTGTTTACTGCATGCATGTTTCATTGTGCCAAACAAGGTCTGCGATACCCAAAGAAATGTCTTTTTCTCTCTTACAGTGAACCACCTCCATGTGTCTAACTTAATATATCACCATAATATATAACTACATATCCTTCATTCTAGTACTGTTATTTTGATTGTACAGATAGTATTTCTTAATGGAACATAATTCATTCAGAGACACTTACTTGAAGGAACTGAGCATTTAAAAAAGTGATTATACAATAAGGAACAAAGATTCTGCCACCTGATATTCACCCTAAACCTAACAAACATATACTGTACATGAGCTCAGATTTGAATACTAAATACCAATATTAAAAACTTAGGACACAGGCAGGTGGTTGGGGTGGTTAAGGGAGCTGTGGCAGCAAATCGCATTGGCTTGAATGTATCAGGAGAGTAATAGAAGTGTAAAATCATAATGGCCACCTGAATGAATATGATTGGACGTTACCAGTCAGCTGGTAGCAGTTGATGAAGCACGAATGAAGCAGCTGATCAGTTAATGCAAGTGCGACTTCAGTGCTCTGCCAATATAAATCTATGCTCCATCACCAGCTGATGACAATCTGACAATGCATAAGAGCATTTTCTGATCTGGTGCCACCAATATACCCCGATCAGCCATAACATTATGACCACTGACAGTGGTGGGCTATATATCGTCGCAAGTGAACATTTTGTCCTCAGAGTTGATGTGTTAGAAGCAGGGAAAATGGGCAGTGCGAGGATTTGAGCAACTTTGACAAAGTCCAAATTGTGATGTCTAGATGACTGGGTCAGAGCATCTCCAAAACTACAGCTCTTGTGGGGTGTTCCCGGTCTGCAGGAAAGATGTGAACTGGAGATCTAAATCTAAAGGCTCACTGATGCATGTGTGAAGTGAAGGCTGGCCCGTGTGGTCCGATCCAACAAACGAGCTACTGTAGAATACTGTTATTGTTTCGGTTAGGGAAACATTGTGGTTTGGGTTAAATTAAGTTCTTGGTTAAGTTAGGGAATGATTGCGGTATTGGTGAAAAGAAATGTTTATTGTTAGAAGGTAATGGGAGACAAACACTGGTCTCCAATATCAAAGTCACACACCTTGTTGTCCAACCCCAACCCCATCCTTAAAAGCCTTTGCAGCACTATAAACATGCTTTTCTGAGACCACAGTCAAAATTGGCACATCCAAAAGAGGGAGGACCTTACTTTCTGTTTTAGGCATTTAAGCAAACAACCAGTGCTGTTGTTTCTCGTGAGGACAGTCTCGATCACACCTACCAATCATTACAATACACTCCTCTACATTGGTTAATGATTAAAAGGACAAATTAACTGGCAGCATGTGGCCCACTGAAAATTTTCATTAAAAAATGTAAAGGTCCTCTGAAGTTAGGTTCAAACGGTAAAGCCTGAGGTTGAGGGTGAGGAAAATAAGGAGATGGAGGAATGGGTTGATGCAGGAAACCCTCTGTGGCCAGGCCTCGGAGAGAGCTGTGTGTATCACCAGGCCCATCATAACGGCTCATTTCAGTGTTTGATCCTTGCAAAGGCGCTCACTCCTCCACACAGAGTTCATACCACCCAAGGGTGGCGTTTCCATAGCTTATATTTGCAAACACAGTACGGTGAGAAAGAAGAAGCTTAACCCCTGAGGTATTGCCATCTGCTGGTGTGTAGCCCCCTTATTCCCTCTTTGAAACGTTGGTAATTAACAAATACTACACCGTACTGTAAATGCTATTTTTGCACTAATGTGTGGGCTGGGTGAAAAACATCACAGGAACTCCAGCCTGTTAATTAGAGTATATTTATGGCAATTAAATCGGCCTTGGAGAGACTAACTGAAAGAATTCTTAATGCCTGACCCAGAGATATGTATCATTCAACACGTGCTACTGTGAATTCCAACACTATCCTCAGATCAAATTATATTTTAAACAACTGAAACTGGTCTCAGATGGCCCATGGCTCTGCTGTTTTCAGGGAATGTAGTTTGAAAGTCAATCTACAAGTGGATATAGACTTAATACAGTGTCTAAGAAAGTTGGCGATTTTACACCATTGTGACAGTTAAATGTGATAATCTGCCCTATGTTTTCACTCTGTTCACTGCATTATGCTACTGTCTCACAGCAGGGAGTTTGACCACGAAAATTTCACTATCCAATTACCAGGTGAAATTGGCTGTTTAATTTTACAGCCTCAATGAAGGCGCTCTATCAGAATGATGGCCATTCAGTTAGCCCCCTAACACCACCCCAGGCAGCCTGCTCATCAGAGAAAACTTTCTGTGTGTGTGTATATCTGTCTTTCTAGGTGTGTGTCTGCAAAGTGCACTGAAAAAAGCACTGACGAAATATAAATCAAGCAAGGTGATGATAACTTTGGCGTTGACACTGTGATCCATCGTCTTGCCTCC